TTTTTATTGCTTAGATGTGTGGACGAGCTCACAGCCCACCTGGTGTTAAGTGGTTACTGGAGCCCATAGACATCTACAACGTAAATGCGCCACACACCTTGAGATATAGTTCTAAGGTCTCAGTATAGTCACAACGGCTGCCCCACCCTTCAAACCGAAACGCATTACTGCTTCACGGCAGAAATAAGCAGGGCGGTGGTACCTACCCGTGCGGACTTACAAGAGGTCCTACCACCAGTAATTACGCAAATGATAATTTTGCGGGTTTGATTTTTATTGCACGATGTTATTCCTTCACCGTGGAAGTCAATCGTGAACATTTGTTGAGTACGTATTTCATTAGAAAAATTGGTACCCGCCAGCGAGATTCGAACACCAGTGCATCGCTCGATACGAATGCACCGGACGTCTTATCCTTTAGGCCACGATGACTTCAAATTCTACAAATAAATAATACTCAACAATATTTAAAATAAAATAGGCCACGATGACTTCAAATTCTACAAATAAATAATACTCAACAATATTTAAAATAAAATGAGCCAAGAACGTTTATCGATAAAACCTGATAACATTGAAATCTTTTGCACAGCACTAAAACCGCCATGCTTTGTGGTCAGATGACGTCACAGTGGCACAAATTTTTTGTTGACGTTTCATTTCCATAAGTTTCCTACTTCAGTGTAGATTATACACTTAGTATATTACTTTAATATTAATGTTATACTACACTTTACAGTACTTTACACATTTATGTGTTGGTAATATGATGTCCAACAGTCCAACCCTATTATTCAGGTAATTGATTCTAGCGATGTGAACCGATTACAATTTCTGGCTCCGGTTTATTATTTAATACTATTGTATTAAATCAAAATTTTGATGCAAGAAGCATAGTTGGTCCACTGCGTCGTCCAGAAGCCTGCTCCTTCTGGATGTTAGCACGTACCCCGACGTCGAAAACATACGTTCGGAAGGCACAGAAGTTGCTGGGACTGATAGGTATTTAAATGCTATTTTGTTTAAAGGCCTTAAATGAGTATTGCTCATCCAAAAAGTGGCAGCAATTTCGGTTTGGTTTCCTGTGGCGGCTTCAGTCTCAATATACATTCGCACTATATTCACTGCGGCCACCGTGGCGTTCGGAATATCCCGTTTTCGCGAATGCAAAAATCCAGAATACCAGGCTTTTCAAAATTGTTTGTGGTTTCTTCTGGATGCTCCGATTATAAAACGAGAGTTGAAAATTCTTTAAGAAGATTCCCCAGTTCACGACGCACCATCTCTTTTGCAGACAACATGTACTCTGGTTGGCGAATGCCATTTCTGAGTGTTGGGTGCAGATATGTGGATATTTGGGTCACGGTCCTCATTTCGTACGCTAAAAGTCTACCAACCATATTGTGGTTATTGCACTGTAGTTTTTAAATGTAATGCACGGTAATTTGGGTTTGAAACACGGTTTTTTTAGGTACCTTGTATATTTGATCTGGTAGCACTGGTGTGAACTGTGAATGTAATGCCGGCCACTGACATGCGCGCAAATATTCGTACATTGTACGAATGTTTGCGCGCATGTAAAGGGCCGTCAAACATTCATTCGCAAACCTAGCGGCTGTGCAAATGGATTCGCATACTCAATTTGCGAACCCGTTTGCGCTTCCTCCTACACTTGTTTACGAATGTCTCACGAATTTCTCCTCCTTTTTAATTCGTCAATAGAACATTGAAAAGAAAAAGAGTTTTGAATTCTTTCCCAGACATCATTAACAGCCATGCTGTTTTTATGGGATTTCTTTTGATGAAGATACGCTACACAGTAGACGTCATGAACTATGAAAATGGCGATACGTCCGTTACCTTCGCAATCGTCGGCGCAACTGGGCAAGCGAATGTGTGGGAGACTACGCGAAGGTTCGAGGTTCGCGCGCTTTGATGTCTATTAAAAAACCGACACAGCTTGGAAAACCACGAATGCAGCGAAAACTTTGCATAATCATTCGCAAATGTCGTCCTACACTTGCGGGTTTGCGTATTCGTGCGCATGTGAGTGACCGGTGTTACGCGTAATTAAAAACCGGTATTCATAAAAACCGGTGTTTATCGGTATGTATAAAAACCGGTTTTTCTCCGAACCGGCTTACATCCCTAACTGATTCTAAATTTTAGGCGAACCATATTAATACTCATATGAAAGTAAATTTCGTAAATGTAAATAGTATTCTATGTTAAATTACAATTTGCGGCCTTTTCAGAGACTAGAATTTAAATTTCGAAGTCATAATGAAAAAAAATGCGATTTTAACAGATACAACATTATATGAGCACTATAATGATAATTCGTTTTATATAGGTTTAGGTCTTGCAATTTCATCAAGTATCTTCATAGGTTCTAGTTTCATTATAAAAAAGCTAGCGTTGAAAAAGATAATAGCTTCCGGAAATGTAAGAGCTGCAGCAGGAGGCTTCGCGTATTTAAAACAATGGATGTGGTGGCTGGGATTAATAACAAGTAAATGACCTGTTCTCACTAGATTTTTTATTGCTTAGATGTGTGGAGGAGCTCACAGCCCACCTGGTGTTAAGTGGTTACTGGAGCCCATAGACATCTACAACGTAAATGCGCCACACACCGTGAGATGTAGTTCTAAGGTCTCAGTATAGTCACAACGGCTGCCCCACCCTTCAAACCGAAACGCATTACTGCTTCACGGCAGAAATAGGCGGGGCGGTGGTACCTACCCGTGCGGACTCACAAGAGGTCCTACCACCAGTAATTACGCAAATTATAATTTTGCGGATTTCATTTTTATTGCACGATGTTATTCCTTCACCGAGCAAGTCAATCGTGAACATTTGTTGAGTACGTATTTCATTAGAAAAATTGGTACCCGCCAGCGAGATTCGAACACCGTTGCATCGCTCGATACGAATGCACCGGACCTCTTATCCTTTAGGCCACGACGACTTCGGATATTCATCATCAATGACAAAATCAAAGTTTCATATCATAATTATTTTTAGTGAGCATTGGTGAAGCAGCTAATTTGTTAGCATATGCATTTGCTCCAGCTGCATTAGTAACTCCACTTGGTGCCCTGAGTGTCCTGGTAGCTGCTGTGCTTTCTTCAAAGTTTTTAAATGAGAAGTTGAATTTTATGGGGAAGGTGCTTCTTTTTCAAATAAAATTTTCTTACAAGCAAAAAATTTAGTTATTAATTATTGGTACCATACATGCTGGTACTAATTTATTGCCAAAGATGCTAATAATGCCTAAGAATATGTTTACTAGGTATCTGCCAGCCTTGAGATTTTTTTTAGTAAATTTAGTCAAACTATACTTATGAATACATTAAATACTTTTTAATTGTACCAAATCCAGAAAGAAAATTGTAAATAAATCCTTTTTTTTTCAGATTGCCTGTTTTCTATGTATTATTGGATCAATTGTATTTGTTATTCATTCTCCGAAATCAGAAGAAATTAAAAACTTTTCGGAAGTTGTGAATATGCTATGTGAATTTTTATTTATATCATACATGGCAACAGTCCTTCTAATGTGCTTTATAATCAAAATAGTGTTTGTGCCAAAGTTTGGAAATACAAATATTACTTTATACTTATTGCTATGTTCTGCTATTGGGAGTTTGACTGTAGTATTTTGTAAGGCTGTAGCCTTAGGCATAAAAGAATTTGTTACTTCTGGTGTCAATAATCTAGTCAATTTTTATTTTTGGCTTCTCATTGTAAGTGCAATTATATGCATTATGTTACAAATGAATTACTTAAACAAATCCCTAGACATATTTAATACTAGTATTGTAACACCTGTATATTATGTGATGTTCACTGTTTTAGTGATAATTTCATCTGGTATTTTATTTCGAGAATGGGAACANGAATTTGTTACTTCTGGTGTCAATAATCTAGTCAATTTTTATTTTTGGCTTCTCATTGTAAGTGCAATTATATGCATTATGTTACAAATGAATTACTTAAACAAATCCCTAGACATATTTAATACTAGTATTGTAACACCTGTATATTATGTGATGTTCACTGTTTTAGTGATAATTTCATCTGGTATTTTATTTCGAGAATGGGAACACATGACTGCTGAAGATATCTTAGGGTGTGTTTGTGGTTTTTTAATAGTGATGACAGCAATTTTCATGTTAAACGCTTTCAAAGATGTTCAAATATCATTTAAAGACCTAAATTTTAATTTAAGACAAAGAAGAAGCATGGTCAGTAATGATGAAAGGATAGATTCAAATAATTACATCTTAGAAATACCTAGAAACAGGCATATATGACACAATTAATGTTACTGACATAACTTGTTGAATGCCAACATCAGTCATGTACTACAAAAACTGAAGTGTCTAAAGAAAAATAAAACAAATGATACTGAAAATGTTTTTTTTATTATCTCATATGTCCTATTATAGTTTTTTTACTTAAACTACCATGAATGTACATACATTTTTAACAAATAAATAAAGCAAACGTAATACACATTTATCATAACATCAATTTCATAAGAATGAAAGAATATTAGTCTATATATATAAAAATGAATTGCTGTTCGTTAGTCTCGTAAAACTCGAGAAGGGCTGGACAGATTTTACTAATTTTTTTGGATAAGATTTTTGGTCTTGAATTACTTGTGGAAGTCCAGAGAAGGTTTAAAAGGTCGATAAATATGAAAATGCTCGAAATTAAATAAAAATAACAATTTTGTTTTTTCTTTGATGTGTCCCCCGTCGGACGGATTCCTTTTGCTTGTTTTAAGTTTATTTTATACAAAAGTTTAGGTCTTTTGTTTATCGATTGAGGTGCTACAAACTCAGCCGGGTCAGCTAGTTTGACAATAAAAACATTGTTCTCCTTGCTGATAGCTATAATTAAGGAATAAGGGTCAAGTGATAATGTAAGAAATGCATGTTATCTAAATTTGTGTGTTCATTTTTTTTATTGTCTAATTAATAATGCCCTTTCTAATGAACAACAAGCTAATAATAAAATTTACCCAGATAATCAATGAAAATGTGTCAATAATTCACAAAAACCAGAGAAAACAGTATAGTTGAAAGTGTTTTAATTTCATGCAGAACTGAGAACAGTATGATAAATACCTTAAAAGTTTACATTAACTGTAGAAATTCTATAATTAACAAAACTGCCTTTTGAAAAAAATGTGTTCCCTCTTTATCCACCACATAATTTAAGTTCTGTTATATTATTACATTCTTTTTTCAATCTCTCTCTCTTTCTTTCTCTCTGTACACATAATTACTTGAATTGATACAAATAACACCAGCAAGCTAAACAATGAAATCTTTCTTAGAAAAAAGTAGTAAGTTATCACAAGTACACTGTTACAGAATGGTAAATAAAAGTTCTACATATAGGGCAAGTCCTTTGATATCCATATAAACGTCTGCAACATTCAGTGCATAAGCATATATGTCGACAAGGTAAAGTTAAGACACATTTTTGACGCTCTTGACATATAACACATAATGAGTCTGATTGATTAGAAGATGGATCTTCATCAATTTCAAAACTCATATTTCTTGTTTCTATATCTTCACCATTGGCAATTTGAGTTATAATACGTACTTCTGAATTACTAATATAATGTACAATAGCATAATAAAAATAAATTACATTCCTAACCAAAGACCAATAATATATATGTAAATGAGAGAGAATAGATTCCCAATAATGTATTGTTAAACGTGCAATTAAGATACTTATTGTCAAACCTGCAAACGATTGTAAAGGCACATCTGTTAAAAAATTTGTAAAGTTTAATAAATTCATATATGCATCTACTGTAACATTTATAGCAGTATCAAAAGTATACCTTATCATTACTTTAACAAGTTGAGGAAGGTGAACAGGAATAAACGTTAGCATTAACCACACTGTATCTCCCAGGAATATAATACATTTTGAAAATATCAATAGCACTTCACTAAGATTCACAAACACATTTCCAATTGTTTGCACTGTAGTTGTCACTGTTGAAGTTAGTCTAGAGTAAATATCATAATATATCGATGCTATTGTTCTCCCCAAATACAAAAAATGGTCAACAGTTGCATCTTTAAAATTACACACACAGTTTGGCAAATCTTCGGCAAAAGTTGAAAAATTATCTTCATACACAATTTCAAAAAAAAGCTTAATGCTATTTTTCGTTTCTAAAATTGCAGAAGACACGTAAATTAGAAAAAGTAGAATAAATTTGCCAATAAGAGCAGCGAAGTTTACAATATTCTGTATGAGCAATGAAAATAAATTTAGTCCATGAACAACGTAGGTAATCATTTTTTTAGCTTCATTTTAAATTTTACTTTTTGTTATTCTATGAACGAAGCTGCTTTAAAAGTTAACAGTCAATTTTTTTAAGGAATTTTATAACCTGGTAACTAGGAGCTTTCAGTCATGTCTTATTTTAATTTATACTAGATGATGACTAGATTTTTGGCGGGAACGCGAGNAAAATAAATTTAGTCCATGAACAACGTAGGTAATCATTTTTTTAGCTTCATTTTAAATTTTACTTTTTGTTATTCTATGAACGAAGCTGCTTTAAAAGTTAACAGTCAATTTTTTTAAGGAATTTTATAACCTGGTAACTAGGAGCTTTCAGTCATGTCTTATTTTAATTTATACTAGATGATGACTAGATTTTTGGCGGGAACGCGAGGAGTTAAGTTGTGTGATTTGTTTTATTTTGCCTAATTAGTGTTTCTTCAGGTTTAAATGTCTAATAACGGTGGTTTATTAACTCTTTAGTATCTTTGAATGTGCACAAATGTGGGAAAATGAAACAAAGCCGCTGAACGTAATTTCTCGGAATCCTCCGGAAATTACCACCATTTTACTGAGATTATACTTCATCCCACATCATCTCATCTCATTTCATGCCATGTTTCATTATAATCAACTTCATTTCATTTCATGATATGATTTTTCATTTATAAAAGTTATCATTAAAATTAGACTTGACCTAAGGGTCTTAGTTACCAGGTCATAAAATCCCTTAAAAGAAAAAGTTGCCTGTTGTATAGATTATACACTTTATGTGAGCTAAAGTTGTGTACAAGAGGTCCCACCTTGCGTTTTAATAATTTGAACTACTACCATTACATACATTACAACAATTCATTTTGTGCCTTTCCAACTATAATAACATTTTGTTGCCGACAGTTTACGATTTATTAAGTCTAGTTCTTACTTAAAAAAAATTTAAAAAGCGACAGTATTTGGTAGCTCAGTCATGGTAAGCTAAACTAATTATTTTAAACTATCAGTTCTTCATTTGTTATTTAATGACTTTTATTTTATGAAAAGGAGCCACCCAGTGCGGGGACCAGTTCTCCGGGTCTCTTAAACGCGCCTCCTCTTTTACCGCCTCCAATGCTAAGCGGTATGCCTCCACCAATGCCGCCCGCTGTGGCAATGCCACCAGTGCCTGGGTTACCTCCAAATATGGCTACATTACCACCGCCCATGGGCTTTCCTCCCATGTTGCCGCCTCCATTTTCAATACCACCGCCAGGATTCCCTGCATTCAAACCGGTGAGTAACAGTTCAATAACTATTCTTTAATATAATGGAATGGTTAGTATTCTGTCGGACAAAAAGTTTGAAATTTTTAAGGTTAGATTAAAATATAAATTTAAACAAGGGCTGTTTTTATGTTACCAGGTTTATCATATTAATAATGCACTAGTCTGAATATTAGTGTCATATTGTTTAAAAGTCTATCTTCAGTAATTTTGACGGTAAATATTTGTTACAGTACAGTTACAGTATCATGCGGAAATAATTGAGGCCTATAAAATCAAAGGCAGCTAAATCCAAGTCTGTCAAATATTCAGGTAAACTACCAAAAATCACCCCTCAACATGTCATTACGGATCCTCCCGATCCATCAAAGTACTGCTCTTGCTAGGGCCAGTGTTAGCAACATTCTCGGTTTGAGAAGCTGAAATAACTGTTCAGATAGCTACAATATTCTTTATTTTAAAGCAGATTTACAAAGAATGAGAATATTACTAATAATCTGAATTTTAAATGATAAAACATTGTTTTTTAGTACTTAGTACTAAATTTGTTAGAGATTTAGCTGTATTTGTTATAACATGAAAATACTAAAGCGTGACCATCTAACTAAACAAGATAGCGCCATTGTTAATCCATTTTACGACATTAAGGTGTTTAGCTGCCTTTGATATTATAGGCCTCAATTGTACTATTTTAGTAAATCAAAGCATGTGAAATTATTTCAAAACTTTTATTTTATTGTATTACGAGTGTTTGTGTCAGATATTTAACTGAAATTAACATATGTATTACAAATATAAAACTGTAAAGTAAATCAATTTCACTTATTTCAGGAATTAAATGCTCCTGCACCAGATGTTGCTCCATCGGCAAATCAAAGTAGTCCATGGTCTGAACATAAGGCCCCTGATGGAAGAACATATTACTATAATTCTGTAACCAAACAAAGCTTGTGGGAAAAACCTGACGACTTAAAAACGTCAGCTGAGGTACTATTTCAGCCTTTTTATGTTAAACAAACTCAATAATGAAAATTTAAGATTAACTATGGTATTCATACAATAGTGGATAGTATATTTATATTTTATATTTATTATGGGTTTGGTGTAAGCAGGTGATGATTGATTTTACAGAAACTATTATCTGCTTGTGTATGGAAAGAATATACCACAAATACTGGCAGACTTTACTATCATAATATTGAGACAAAGGAGTCCAGTTGGGTAGTACCGAAAGAATTACAGGAGATTAAAGACAAAATTGCTGCTGAAGAAGCTGCTCAGTATGTTTTTACTAAGTTATAAATATTATTGATAATTTCACAATTAAAATGCTGTAGTAAATAGCACAAAATTTGCATTAGTAGAAAAGTGATTTTAGATTTCAACTTTTTATTATAAGTTTTATAGTTACTATATTAAACGAGCAATTCTTGTATATTAATATATATATAATCGGAATCTCGGAAACGGCTCCAACGATTTTCATAAAATTTAGTATACAGGGGATTTCAGAGGCAATAAATCGATCTAGCTACGATTTATTTTCAGAAATTGTTGTTTTATTCGTGTTTTCAATAATCAACTCTTCCCGACATCTATTGGCGAATAATAATACTATTTTTCTTAATTGAGGGCAAATAACCGCTTTAAAAACAACAAGATAGCGTTATAAAAAAAAAAGAGCAAAGCTCGGTCATCATCTAGTATGTAGTTACTATATGAACAGTCTGTAACGAAAAAGATCTTCACCCTCCAAAAACAGGAATGATAACTAATTGGTTATGTGAGTTTACATTTATTACAACAAAGGCTAGTTGGAACTCAAGCACAATGTTTGATTATGGAAATTATTTGCATTGCAAAAAAGAGAGCTACTTAAAAGACAAATTGTATTATTTATTATTTAATTTAATTATATTAATTTTCCTCTAATTCACTAGTTTTAAATATTTTTTATTAATATTGTTTAGTGTTATAAATCTATTTTCCAATGCTCCAATTCTTGTCATTCGGTTAATGGATGAATGATGTTGTTGTAGGCGCATTGTGATGGAAGTAACACCGAGTGAGGTGCCGCTGCCGGCAGAGCCTGCAGGCTCCTCCGCCCTTGACGAAGCTATGGCTAAAACATTAGCAGCCATTGATACCTCATTGGCCACATCCATACCTGTACCTGACGAAAGTATGAATTTCTAGTAATTCTGATTAAGTATTTTCTTGGTTTTGGCTTAGGATTAAACTACGACGTTAGACCCATCATACAGTAAACACTTAATTAATTGCCAATGTCATTTTAAAACTGAATTTCTGATTTGTTAAAGTATTTGTATTGAATATTACACTTTACTATACTTTACTTGTGTAGGTTCACAATATGACATAGCACTATAGATAAGAATTAAGGTGGTATACCTTAGCTGTATACCTGCATACCTTACCTGTATAATTATACAGGTAAGATATAAAAAAAATGCAGGATGAAGATTTTTGCTGACAGTGTATATAATAAAGTTTTTGCTGTATGACACATTGTTTAATTAGGACAAGGCAACTTTATTATTAAGCAAAATAATCAATTAATATTAAAATAAACCAGATGTTTGGTTATATTTTAATCTTCGATCAACGTTACTATTGATGATCGAAGATTTTAATAAAAGAATCAACTTCAGTGAATATTTTCAGTAGAACCAGAAGACACAGTTTCAATTAATAATGAAACTCAAGAACAGCCGGAGATGTTGTACAAAGACAAGAAAGAGGCTATTGAAGCATTTAAAGAACTGCTGAAAGATAAGGTATGATGAGCCTTTTAGCATTTTCCTTCTTTTTTAGTTTAAATTTTAAAAAGGCACAAACATTTTTTGTTATTAATTCTTAATTTGTAGAATATACCCTCAAATGCAACATGGGAACAATGTGTAAAAGTTATTTCAAAAGACCCACGATATGTCACTTTTAAAAAACTCAATGAAAAGAAACAAGCGTTCAATGCTTACAAAACTCAAAAATTAAAAGATGAAAGAGAGGAACAGAGGTATGTGTTGAGTATTTTTATGAGTTTGTTCATTCATTCATAACCAAACCAAAACACATTATTGCTTCACAACAGAAATAGGTAGAGCGGTGGTACTTACCCATGCGGGCTCTCAAGACTCCTTACCACCAAGAGTGTGTTAAAAGGATAACAAGATGATTATCCAAATCTTAGAGAACAAACTGTATAATAGGCAGATTATAATATATCTCCATAGACCCAGACAACACAGACATCATACCGATAATGACGTCACTTATATAAAGACATTGGGTTGAAGCTTCATATCGACGCTTGAAAGGCAAACGTGACTAAAGGTGAATTTACATTACGAAATTAGTGGCGTGAAATTAATTTCGTGACATTAGTTTTACCAACAGTTTCACGTGTAATTTAGTACTTTCGTAATGCATGCATTAATTTCATGCATGCAAATTAGTTTCGTGCCCTGCGCGATTTTTTGGTGAAATTAGTGTCATGCAACTAATTTCATAGTGTAGACGCGACGTGANGTAAAATAGTTTTTTTTTTCAATATTTATTCCATGTTTCATTTTCTCCATTCATTCATCAGACAATTTATCGACAAAGATTATCGATTTTATCAAGCACTAGCGTGTATGAACATTTTTATTGCCTTTTTGCGTGTGTGAGTGTGTATGTCTACGGGTGTTTTGTGCTAGTTTGCGAACGAATATCTGCCCTGAGATTTATGTGTGGGTGTTTTTGTTGTGTGCGAAATACTTGTAATCACAGTACGTGTATGTGTAGAAATTAAAATAGTGGGGATGAAGCGGCGACACTGGTTCTAATACAAAATTAGAGCAAAGGCCTTTCCAACCTTATTTAACTATTCCGTGATGGTACCCATAGCACAGGGAATCCTAAATTGATACCAATAATAAAGTTTTGGAAAGTATTATTAGTATTATAGTTAAATTAGTTTTAAATACATCTTTTTGACAGCTTTCAAGTTTTGGTATTGCATCTTAAGGTTATATTTTTTTCGGATATCACGAGTCGTTGATATAATTAAAACTACTGTTACGATTTATTCCTGTGTTTTTTACTGTATTATTTCCGTTTGAAATATTATAGTTGTCGTGGTCGGGGACGCTAGGGTGCTATTCGACGCCTTTGGTATATTGGTCTAACTACGTTCCATATTTGTATATAAAAAAATCTAGACTTACGTTTCATATAACATAGAACGAACTAATAATATTGTCTGGCAGTTTGCTTGACTTGGGTTTTCATCTTTACTATAAGAGGATCCCTGTCCCAGTAAGAAGGTTAGGTAAACGCCAACCATATTCTTTATTAAATTCATCGTATCTTTTTTTAATACCCTTGCGCACCATGTGTGATTTTCTTTCTTTTCTTTATCGAGTATCTGGATCTTGTCATATCTTATAAAATTGTTGTCACCAGTGTCCAGAGCATGTTAATAATCTGAATACTTATGTACTCGGTTATTCCTGACCTTTGCAATATCCTTGTTGTTATCCTTGAACTCTGACCGATATGTGTCGCTTAGTTTGTCCTATATATGAAAGCCTACAGTTATATTCCAGTTTATAGACACTATGACCCTGCAAACTTAAACTACACTTTTTTTCTTCCACATAAGAAAATGGCGCGGCAGGTGGGGTAGGTGGGAGTTGAACCTCACTAAAAACTCCTGCCGCTCACAGTCGGCGCCCTACCTCGGACCGGGCCGGAGCCCAGTCGGGGCTATTGAGACGGCTTAGCAGACCTTAGGTACTGTATTAGTTTCTTGCGTGGTCTATGAAATGATTTTATTGACGCACTTCTAAACATGTCGCCAATCCTGTTTTAGTAGAGAGTAATTTTAATTAGCTTAAAGTTAATTTGTAAAGCATTTATTTTATAAATTGGTGTAATGTTTAATGCGAAGTATGTTTCTAACATAAAGTCTTATTCAAGTGATTACTGACCTATTTTTTCTATTGCATAATTGTAAATTGCTACCTGCCTGCGGGATTTGAACACGGGTATGGTTGCTTTGAACGATACAAATACACAGAGCTCCTCCCAGTGATAGGAAAATTATACGAGCGACTATTACGCAAACGCCTCTGGGACTTTATCACCTCGAAAGGCATCCTGATCGACGAATAGTTTGGATTCCATGCGAACCACTTGTACATTCGTTAGTGCACCGCCTCACGGAGCACATCTTAGTAGGGCTAAATAGACGCAGGCCCGTCCCCACGAGGGCCCTCTTCTTCGATATCGCGAAGGCGTTCGACAAAGTTTGACACAATGGTTTAATTTGCAAACTGTATAGTATGGTCGTGCCAGACAGTCTTGTGCTCATCATACGAGACTTCTTGTCGAACCGTTCGTTTCGGTATCGAGTCGAGGGAACTCACTCTCTCCCGCGACATATCTCGACTGGAGTCTCACAAGGCTCCGCTCTCTTCCCTCTACTTTTCAACCTGTTTATTAACGATATACCCTGGTCGCCGGCGACCAACTTAGCCCTTCGCGGATGATACGGCTATCTACTACTCGAGTAGGAACATGTTGGTCATACATAGTAAACGCTATATGGCTGCCACCAATTTAGGACAGTGGTTCCGGAAGTGGGGCATTGACATATACCCAGCGAAAAGCACAGCCGTGCTCTTCAAAAGGGGTCACCCCCTTGACACTACTGCTAGTATCTCGTCATTAATTAGGCGGGGTAATTCCATTTTCACCTTAAAGTCTTTGGCCAGCCCATACCGTGGGCTTCGAAGGCTAAGTACTTAGGCGTTACTCTCCACTGGGGGATGACATTTGGGTTCCACATTAAGTCAGTACGCGATCGAGCCGCGTTCCTACTCGATCGACTCTACCCCATGATCTGCAAGCGAAGTAAATTGTCCCTTCATAACAAGTTGTCACTCTACAAAGCTTGCATACGCTGTGTCAATTGTAGTATTCGCTCACATGGCCCGTACTCACATGAACTCTCTCCAAGTCATCCAATCTCGATTCAGCAGGATAGCCGGTAGGCTGGTAGTATGTGAGGAATGTATATCTTTACGACGAGTATCTTAAGAAAGTATTTGAAGTATCTTAAGGAAGCGTCAGAGCGCTACTTTGACAAAGCGGCGTGACACGAAATCCCTCTTATTGATACGACCGCTAATTACTTACTCTCGCCGAATCTTCTCAGTAAGTCGCGATTCCGATCTGGTGGTAGATTCTGCGAAGCACTGCTCATGCTAGGGCTAGTGTTAGCAAATTCTCTCAGGTTGAGCTGGTGAGCTTACCTATCCGTCTGGACGTAGCTGGAATAGCCTCTTAAGCTACCAGCAAATAGGAAGGGGAAAAAAAATTCACCGAGAGTCGTATCCTTTACGCCACGACAACTTTAAAATAGACTTTTTATAGCCATAGCTTACACCTACACTTCCAATAATATTTATTGCTGATTAGAAATAGAACAGCAAAGAACACGTTCCAAACAGTAGGCTATTCCAAAACAAGAAATTATTGTACAAGCAACAACAAATGTATTCGAGGAGAACAGATGCCGCGATTTGTTAAAGTCGTAAAAATTACAAAACGAGCCTTGGCATTTGGAAAAGGATGATCGAATTAGTTTAAATAGTGATTTATATGGTATCTCACCATCCTGATTAAATAAAAGTATTACCACAGCATCCTTAATAGTGTTTAAAGTATAAATTTTTTTGTGTAAAAATTTAATGTGGATATTATTTTCAAATTTCTGTAAGGTTTTCTTTGAGATGCGAGTGTCGCTAATCAGGCGATAGGGCAAAGCTATTTGAATTTCAGTTTTTTTTTCGATAATCATAAATCGTACACTAAAGCCTAAAGCATAAGACGTCTGTGCATTCGTATCTAGCGATGCAAGGTGTTCGAAACCCGCAGGCGGGTACCAATTTTCCTAATGAAATACGTACTTAAAAAATGTTCACGATTGACTTCCACGGTGAAGGAATAACATCGTGTAATGAAAATCAAGCCCGCAAAATTATAATTTGCGTAATTACTGATGGTAGGACCTCTTGTGAGTCCGCACGAGTAGGTACCACCACCCTAACTATTTCTGCCGTAAAGCAGTAATGAGTTTCAGTTTGAAGGGTGGAGCAGCCGTTGTAATCATACTGAGACCTTAGTACTTATATCTCAAGGTGGGTGGCAAATTTACGTTGAAGATGTCTACGTACGTACGTCTATGGGATCCAGTAACCACTTACCACCAGGTGGGCTGTGAGCTCGTCCACCCATCTAAGCACTAAAAAAATAATTAAAAATACTTTAACAACCCTTCGAGTTAGAACTAAGGAACTCATTCCGGATGTCCAATATAATTCCACGTCTGGTAGCCGACGCCATTGAAATCAATAAATAAACCTTATATTTAATAGAAAATGTAGTTGGCGCATATGTATTACCTGGGATCCTCTTACCGTGCGTATTGAACCCTAACACAAACAAACAGAAACTTCAAGATACTGACAGTTCTGTCTGTGTGCAAAGTAACGTACATTTATAGTAGACGACAGTTAACATATTTCGACGTAAAACACCGTCATTGATAAACCATATAACATTGAAGAGGTCGGAAACAATAAAATAAAAATAGCAAACCCGAGATTCAGCCGTAAACGTAGTTTTGATTATACTAGAGGTCCCGCAGTAGTCGAAATTCGACTATAATTAATTGGAATTGTAAGTTTGTACACTATTCAGATTGTATTTTATACTTCTATAATCACAGATTTCACCAAGACTACACTATAAAAAATATTAACCAAGACAAACAATATTTAATCTCAATTTGACAACAGACGTCAAGAACAAAAGTTTGACAATAAATGTATGCATGTGTGTGTGCGTCAAATACATGGTGTGTAGTGTGTGTAATGTTTTCTTTATTGATTTAATGTATCTTTTATGCATTATTTTAAAAAAATATTAGCATTGTGCACTTCTTCTCTATATTCTCTATAAGTGTGGAAAATTTCATACTCCTCCGTCCGCGCAATTTTCGTGAAAAGGGATACAAAGTTTTTGCTTCACGTATTAATATATAGATTTGAAAATCTATAAAGTAAGCGTCAATCGATATTAATACTTCGAATTATTTGCTTGTAAATAATAACATAAGGCATTGCCTGTCAGGGTATTTAAAATTTATTGACTTAGCTAAACGTCTTCTGAGTTGTGAATAGCAACTATGTGTGCCTTTGCAACACAATATTAATTATCACGCAGCAAGCCAACGCTGATGTCAGGCGTGATTTTTAATTAGGATTATTATATTTTTTATCGCCGAATGCTTTTTTTATTAATTAAAAGGTTCGCGACTCAAATGATGTTAAGGGGTACCTGAAATTTAGAATTACAACGTGAATGTGGTTTTTAATCTTGAAACTTAAAGACGAAGTGTTATTTGTATATTTGTTTTTAGAAAAATGTAAGCAGTACAATAAGTAAAATTTACCGACGCTGATCTAAAATACGACTTATTACAACCGCCTAAAGTATAGATTAGAGTACTAGTACAGAGGATAATAATCACATGAAGGTTTTTTATTTACCTTTATTGGCACACGAATATACGCTCCACTTTATGGTAAGTGGTTATCGTCACTCATGGACATCAGCTATGCCAGGGACACAGAAAAGCCGTATCGTACTCTTGAGGACTCTCGTAAATATCATTTGAAGAAGGATGAGACTTCATTCCAGAGACGAAAAAATATCTTTGGAAAGCACTGTAGATGAAGGCCGTAGTTCAAATAGTATGGATGAACCCTATTCCGATGAAGGTAGGTGCAATAGCAACCCTGTAGATGGCGGCTTCCCCTCGGTGAAGGTCAAGGGGCGACCTGAGGGGGTAGAGGCCGCGCTACGCCCTACCAGCACTCTAGCGTGCTGCCAAGGATTAATAGAGCAACCGGTGGTAGGACCTCTTGTGAACTGGTGGTAGGACCTCTTGTGAGTCCGCATGGGTAGGTTGCTACCTATTTCTGCCGTGAAGCAGTAATGCGTTTCGGTTTGAAGGGTGGGACAGCCTTTGTAACTATACTGAGACCTTAGAACTCATATCTCAAGGTGGGTGGCGGCATTAACGTTGTAGATGTCTATGGGCTCCGGTAACCACTTAACACCAGCTGAGCTGTGAGCTCGTCCACACATCTATGCAATAAAATAATAATAAAAAAACGGGTTGTCGGTGTATCGCGTCCCGACTCGGCAGGTTGGTGGTTCTGGTCCAGCAGGGTATTCCGGGATACCAGCGGTACCGTCTGGGCGGCCGAACGGGCTGCCGTACCGAGACGGCCGACATTTCAGACCCTTGGATTCGCCTCGAAGGCTCCGTCGGCCGCGCGTCCTTGGGGTGAGCTGCGCCGTCTGGTTGTAATGTTGACCGCGGTAACCCCTTTACCTCATCCGGGTTCTGACCTCGTAAGAGGTTCGGCCCCCGGCCCGAAAAAAAAGGTACAATAGCAAAAAAGAAATGAATGATCCATTCCATCACGTCCATCACGAACAATTCCTCGGAGCAGTTAGTAGGCAGATTATGAGTGAATCATATATATAACAATAAATACACTAAAATATCTGAAGTGATTGAAGAAATAATTATCATATCAGACCTTCTAACAGAGTATTTTTTATAATTTGGTACGGCCAACCGCATTTTATGCTAAATCCTTCGAATGGTTCGTTATTCGGTAATTAGATTTACTTATCAGTTGGAATTTGAGTTTTTACTGTTTCTGACTTTGTGAGCAAAACAATACCATAATGGTTTAATTGTTAAATTTTGTCCGTTGACCTAAATTAAGTTTTACGCAATCGCACAATGCGTGAATGTATTTTTGTAAGCTTTCCGCTGCTCATATTCATCAAATATTTGATAAAATATAGCTTCTCTCTCTTAGCCAATTATAATGCTATTAAGGAACGGCGAACGTTTTTTTGCATTAATATTGTTGTTACATTATCATTTCTTTTATTATCTTTCTTCTATGATCTTTTTTAATTCTTCTATTATTTATCCTAATTTGTTATTATTTATAATTTAATACATGTTTTATGAAGAAATAACACTGTAAGCCTTTATAATAGTCGGTAAACACTGCACTTTTTCAGACAATTTCACCTGGTACTAAGTTTGCAGTTCCAGCAAAGTGCAGGGATTCCCAAACCGTTTTGCCCAACAGAGGAGTCTCTTTCCAAAATGAACCGATACCTCATAACCTCATAGTCAAATTAGTCAATTTAAAAA